AGATTTTAAGCTCCCAATTATTTTTGTACTATACCTCTGACACAAGTTATCGACTGGAAATTTTTTTTTGAAATCCGTGAACTTAACACTTTCTTNTGAAATCAACTTTTTTTTCTGATATTCGTTTTCAAATTTTTTTACTGTCCCAGAACTTTTTTTATCCTGATTCTGAATTGCATTTTTCCGGAGTGCCCAGTCGACATACAGGAAAATGAAGATTTTCTGATACCCTGTAAAAATCGGATTAAAAATTNGGATTTTCTGGACGCTTCTTACCTTTTGAAAGTACAGAAGCAATGCTTCTTCCAGAGTTTTTTGAAACTTTGGGTTCTTGCTTCCGACTTTTGTCTTCCGGTTATTTTCTCTATTTTTCTGCAAACAAAACGACACATTCATGGTTATACAGTATTCTAGTATAATATTATATGTTAATTAATAGATTGCGAACAAAAACTGCGAAGAAAACGGCGAAAAAAGAAGTAAAGTATCCAAAAATAAGAAAAAGAAGTTCGGAAAATAAAAAACAAGAATTTCTTCGCGATTGTTCAATTGTGGACCTTTTATAGGGCCAGTTAGTAAGATACGCATTTTGCTCGCGAATGGTCAATTGTAGAACCTCTCGTTCGCGGTAGATAAGTAATTGGTCGATATAGCCCTTCTTCTGTAATTGGTCAATCACGAATCACCTGTGACAGACAGGCGCGCTCACCTTTACACCACACAGCGCTTGTCGGCTTCTGCCGCTAAAACGATTATGAAACGAGGAGTGGGCGACACTTGAGCCGCCGCTTGGCTTCATTTATTTATCTTCCTTATAAATAAAACGCTAGACGTGTCTGTTGGTCCCGGTGTCAGTCCGGTTTTGGGTTTTTAAATGAAAAGTTGGCCGCCACCAAAACCGAACCAGCGGCCTGTCGCACAACGGCTGCGCACTCACACAGCTGCGCCATGAGGGCCACAGAGATAGAAGGGAGGAAGGGCGTAGATGTTCTACTGTGTGAGAAAGAGAAATTGAATAGAGGGGTGGAGTGAAGAACCAGTAAAAAATATTGAATTGCGCCGAAGGCGCAGAAGCCAGCAGGCTGGTATGAAACAATAGAGTAGGGTTTCCATTTGGGGGGGGGGGGGCC